TTTTTTTGGTTTTCTAGATGGTCGTACTACCCCCTTGGTTGCAAGTATAATTCCAATTAGGGATTGATTCAGACTTTGTTCTGGTTCTTGTGGTGTCATTTGACATCTTTCGTGTACTCTATTTGATTTATTAATATAATTATCGATTGAAAGAAAAAAATGATATGAGATTTATAGTTGTGTACATTAAACCCTCGAAAATTTGAGTATATATATATGACGTATATATATATATTTATAACTCGGCTCATTCATGATCGAATAGGATTTTTAATATTGATAAATGAGTCAAATTCAAACTCGTTTATTGACTTATTTAATTAACGAGCTCGGTTCGAATAAAAGATTGAGTTCAGGTTCAGCTCAGTCGACTGGTTTACACGTACTAAGGCTATGTTTGGTAAACCTAACTCATATGTTAACCTATAGCTTTATATGAATTTCGAGCTTATAGATGATAGCTTATGACTGAAAAACGAGCTTAAATAATAAAAGTGTTTAACAAAATTAGCTGATAAGCTAGCTGAAATAAAAATTTCAATGGGCATAACTATTCAAAGAAGCTTATGAGATAAACTCGAACTTTTTAAAAAAATTCGTCCTACCAAACAAAACTTATTTGAATACATGAAACTTATAAGCTAGTAAAAAAAAGCTATAAACTAGCTTATATGCTTACCAAATACAAATTTAGATTGTTTGTTAAACCTAGTTGACAAGCTAGTTTATCGCTTTTAAGTTAATTTTGAACATATAGCTGATATTTTATGATTTATGACTAAAAACTAAATTATAAGATAAAAATGTTTGATAAAATTAACCCGAAAATTTGATGAATTTATATGAAAAGTTACAGAACGAAACTTATGGAAAAGTCCCTCCTAGCAAACCTATGTGCGGCCCATCAGGTTGTTTTTATTTTTATTTTTATCTTCGTCATGTTTGATAAGTACCACTTTCGATGCTTTAATCGAGTTCAATTCAATCAATAGGGTTCTGACTTCTGCAAAGTATTTCATCTCTGTATGAACTATGAAGGTTGAATAACAAATTTCATCAGTATCGCGGGAGCCTCCTACAGATTTTGGGTGTTCATCTCTGCCTGTGAACGCAGCCAGGATTCATGGATTTCCAAGCCGTCGTATTAGCAGGCGGCTTCTCGAAAACACTTGTCCCTCTCGTGTCCAAGGTATTTAGCGACCTGCTAAGATCAATTTTCCGTAGATGTATCGAAATTGATATCTTGCTTCCAAAAAATGCACGCAGGAGGTGCCGAAAGCGCTTCTTCCCGTCGCCAATCGGCCGGCTCTTTCGTATGTTTTGGAGCTTCTAGAGAAAAACGACATAAACAATGCAATTGTTGTGAGTTTATTTTGGCTTGGGTTCCTTTTACGATTGTTTATTGTGTTGGAGGACAGGAAATTGAAGATTGTGTTATTGCTGGTGTAGGTCGTTGAAGGGGAAACCGCAGCCCTTATGATTAGTGCTTGGATTTCGAGCACGTTTTTTGATCGATTAAATGTCGAAGTGAGTTCCTAATTGATCTATCTCTGTTTTAAATCACAGAAATAATTTGACTCGATTTTAATGGAAAATATTTGTCTGATTGACTGAAGAGTGAGATTGGAGTCTGACAGTTATTCTAAAAACTGATTCTAGCACTGGAAGAAAGTAGTTATTCATATTATATCGAGTAACTCATGTTAGGGTGAGAACTATTGTTGAGCTACGAATGACATGTCTGCTCTCTTATTTAGAGATATTATAACCATTATAGGTTGATTTTTGACCATTATATGCTATTGAAGGTGGGCAAAGTGCTAACATTGTATGTAATAGTTCTTGGAGGCATGCTAGAGATTGAACCAACCGATTAGATGTGTCCTATGTAGGCATTCGATCAAGTAATTCTTGGATGAAATATAAATTTAATGAGGTCATATTTCCTCATTAACTAGAATAAAAAGGTGTCGACTAAACTAGTACTTCTAGATGGAGGTTTATGAATTCTACATTTAGGTACTCTCGTCCCTCATAATCAGTTTTCATTTAGTAAATTACAGTTTGGTAGGACTTGCGATTGCATGCCACCTTCACTATGTGGTTTATTATCTGATTGAAGGAACCCATGTCCTGAATAGCCCAGGAAATCAAATTTCTTGTAGTACATTATAAGATGTGCTTGAAATTCTGGGCTGGGTAGGCGTACATATAATGGAGTTGCTACCAAGGTACTTAGGTATTAGGTAATAATGGGGCTTTGTATTTTTTGACCATTGAATTGAGGTGCCTCGTTCAGTGCTTTATACCAACTTAGAGAAGTCTATGTTCATTGACATGTATGGCAAAAATAAGTTATTTTCTCACCAGTGCTCTATCTAAGCTGCGAATCAACTTAATCTAGTAAGCTGATTCTTCCTGTCCCTCTTGCCGACTATTTGTAAATGTTTGTGGTTATTGTCCAATAACAGATATTATCTCCCTAGTGATGATTCTCTTGGTAATATAGAGGGATTGAGTTTGTGTCAGTTGATTTCAGAAAGACGAACCAGGAACTGTTTTTTGTGTTGTTTTGGTGGATTTTCTGTATTACTGTCCGTAGAGCTATTTGATATTATATAGATATACCTCATGTTTAATTTTAATGTTTGAAACCATTTTTCTGGTTTTCACAAGTTCGACTTTCATTTTTCTAATAGCAGAGTTTTCATGGTCAAACTGAAATCTCGATATATATATCTTCTGTAGGTGGCTGCAGTTCCTGAGGATGTTGGCACAGCTGGTGCGATTCGAGCTATTGATCATCGCCTGACTGCAAAGGACATCTTGGTTTGAATCTTCTCCAGCGCGATTAATTTTTTTCAGCTTCTCATAGTGCAGTACTAATGCAATAACTAAGATTTGTATAGGTTGTGACTGGCGATCTGGTCAGTGAAATTCCACCTGGGGCAGTGGCAGCTGCTCATAGACGACATGATGCTGCAGTTACTGCTATGCTTTGTTCTGTGCCGGCTAGTGGACCATCAGATTCAGGCTCATCCAGTGCGAAGGACAAAACAAAAAAATCAGGATACTATAATATTGTAGGCCTGGATCCAACTAAACAATTTCTGTTGCACATAGCATCTGGTTGGATGATAGAGACTGGAGCTTTATTTATATGATGTTTAATTTATAGTTTCGTTGTTACTGAATATCTTTTGAACTTGTATCAGGAGCAGATGTGGAGAAAAGTATTCGAGTGCAGAAAAGCATACTAAGAGCTGTTGGCCAGGTAAATTATTGGTCATCTAATCTTCAACTGCATTGAGTGCCAAAAAGACCCTGTATCTGTTTGGCGTACCCATTAATTATTAGCATTTGACATGGAAAAACTTATTATAGTGTTCTGGGAGATGGCGAAGTGGGTGGCAAGTACGTTTGACATGTTGCACCTGTTTGTTTATTCTACTTGGGAAATGGCGTTGAAATGATGTTAAATGTTCGGGGATTTCGGCTAAATCTGACAAAAGTCTTGTGCCTTTTCAATTTTATTTTATTTTGTTGAAATTTTTGTATCATGTGCAAGTGGAGAGATTCAGCAAAATTACTTTTACTTGAAGGGTATCCTTATTGAATCGAGTCATTGACAACTAAGCAGCTAAAATATGTTGGAAAAGATTTATAATCTTGAATTGCTATTGCTGACATTCTCTGTTTGTTCATGCTATCTTTTTGGCCACTCTGCGTATGCAGATGGAAATGCGCACTGATCTTATGGATGCTCACGTGTACGCTTTTAAGAGGTTAGAGATTTTTTTTAACTGTTCAAAATGTTGATGCTCTTTTTTTTTTCCTCGTGCAACCAACTTTCCTCTATATTTAAGCATTGGCCGGTAATTACAGATCTGTTCTGCAAGATGTCCTGAATCAAAAAGAAACTTTTCATAGTTTGAGGCGTGATGTACTGCCTTATCTTGTTCGGAGTCAGTTGGTTAGTTTTTGTACCATAGTAATTTGTTATGGCAAGAATCTATGTACTAGCAATTTATTTCAAGTTCTAAATTACATTTTCTTGTTAACCTATTAGAGATCAGAAATATCGTCTAATGGAGTGCAGTCAGAAGAAAATGGCAACGTTGATGATGTTTTCCAGAACAGTAAAATTCTGCTATCTCAGCTTCTGGCCAATGCATCTACACCAAGTTTTCATGAAATCAATGCGCTTGGTCAGGCAGGACCTGCTCCTACATTAAAAAAAACTCATAAATGTTGTGTTTATATTGCTCATAAGGGCAAGTATTGTGCGAGGTTAAATTCCATTCAAGCATTCAGCGACATAAATCGAGATGTAAGTTTTTTGTAGTTCTTGATGAACGCTGTCTTACTTGAAAATGAGTTATTTAACTTGAGTTCTGTAATGTAATGTTGCAGTTAGTAGGAGATGCGAATCACCTGTCGGGCTATACTTTTTCTTCCCACAGCAACATAATTCATCCCTCAGCTGCACTTGGATCTAAAACCACTGTGAGTTAAAAATTTCAGGAGCTTCATCTTTCTTCTGAATAAAGGAATTAGTCATGCAACACAACCCTGTTTTAGGGGCATTGATGGAAGTACCAAATAAATTTGACAAGACGTTAACTTTCGTGCACTGATGTGCGATGATAATCTGATGCAGGTGGGAGCACAATGCATGCTGGGAGAAGGTTCCGAAATGGGTGACAAATGCAGTGTGAAGAAGTCCATCATTGGCCGTCATTGTCGAATTGGCTCAAATGTGAAGGTATTGACGAGATTTTGTCGTACTTGTGACATTTTCCTGCATGAGAACAGAAGTGCAAAGCAGAGCAATAAAAAAAAAAAAGTACAACCATATAAATTTTTGAAAAATGCTACAAGTACATAATAATTGTACATAGAGGTGTACATAACATTCACATAGAGTGGGGTCCACTTGATTTTTTAGTAGGTCCCACTAAATGTGAGTGTTATATACATTCCTATGTACAATATTATGTACCTATACAAGTTTTACAGTCCCCTTATGACTTTACACCACGTGAAGCACGCGCCGTAATTTTAATGTGAGAACAATTTTCATAGCTCGAAATCTCGAATAATTACTGAAATCTTGTATATCAAGTTATCAATACAAAAAATAGAAATAAAATGTGAGCACAGCTACTAAATTTATACTGTGTTTATGTAGATTGTTAATTCAGTTGTCATGAATTATGTCACCATCGGGGATGGTTGTTCGATCCAAGGTTCCATTATTTGCAGTAATGTGCTTCTCCAAGAACGTGCCGTGTTGAAGGACTGTCAGGTACTTTCTTTTTGTTGGTGCATCTTGTAGCGCATGTATTGCTCTTTCATAATCGTGTGTTTACTCCGATTTAGGTTGGAGCAGGTTTTGTAGTCGTCGCTGGAAGTGAGCATAGGGGTGAATCATTGGCCAAGAAAGAAAGGCAGTAATGAGTATTTTCACTTGTGTTTCATCTCAAGATTTTATAGTAAGCATCGTTGAGCTTATGCCTGATGCAAATGCTCCCATAAACTGTTAGAGTGTCGAGGGTTAAGTGAGCACCAATTTTGTGTGGCATTTTGTGAGTAGTAGATGTCGCGGCTATGTGCCGACTCTAATTGTTCAACGCATGGTTTTTAGACCCTTCCGAATGACAGATTATTTGGTGCTCAGTTTTTCGAGCTAGTAGCCCCGCAGGATCTTGGATTTCTGTACATTTTAGTCTGAGAAGATACAAATTTCATTTAGTTTTGAGTCAGAAAAACATGGAGGTTGGTCACATCAGTAATTGAGATATTTGATTGGATTTTCTATTTTCTCTTGTGAGGAAAAATCAAAAGATTATTATTGAAAATGGAACATTAATTTTCTCGTTGTTGAATTTTCTTTTAATTCGGTTGGGAAAGATAGAGGAGAAATATTTCTTTTACTAATTTGTATGAATTCGTCTGGTAAAGACATAGGAGAAATAAAGTTGAACAGACAACTTTGTAAAATATATAAATGACTCCCGTCGTGAGTCATTTCCTCCAATTTGTTTAATTCAGGTCATGTGATAATTTATTGTATTAAACATAATAATTTATTTACCGCCGATTTAATTTTTTATTGTGGATTTAGTATTCCAAAAAGTACACACAAACTATTCAATATATAAACTGAAAAGATTTTTTAGCTAATTGGAATACTAATTTTTTTTAATTAAGGAATTAACTTACTTTTTTTTTTATTTTTTATTTTATTTATTTATTTATTTATTTTTTTTATAAATCAACACCGAAATCTGTTCCATAATAATTCAATATTTCCAGAAATCGGAATCTTAATATATTCAGATTTTTGCTAATTAGTTTTGTTAATGAATGATCTTAAATTAAAACATAAATCTGTTTCCATGTTAATTAAAAAGTTTCAAAAAACATAAGTATTAAATATGGAAATTGCAGTTAAGGAATATGTTTCCATATTGATTAATAAGTTCCAAAAAACATAAGCATTAAATATGAAAACTGCAGTTAATATATTTCCAGGATTAGTAACTAAGATTTGTTTTTGGCGAGAAATAACTACAATTTTAAAAATAATCAAACATTTATATACATACTAGCACGTGCCCCGTGAAATGCATGAGACAGAGACATTAAATGAGTTATTTTAATAGACTGTCCGTTTAGGTCTAAAAAAATTAGGTTTATATCTATAAGTCTGAAAACAATATGTTTATAAATCTATTTTGCACTTTTAATTAGCATTGTTTTTTGGCCATAACACAAAATATGAAAATGTATGGCTACCTTACCAAATAATTATTATATTATCTAACTAACACATTTATACTAATATAAATTTTATTTTAGTATACATATTTATTCCTTGATATAAGGAAAAATAACAGTTTTGCTTATTCTTGTTCACCATATAATACTTAATTATTATTTTATTATAAATTTTGTTGTCATATAGTATTATTATTTTTTATAAAAGTTATAGAAGTTCTACGTATTCTTTTTCTTTTTATTTTATGTAATAATAAATATATAATGCACGTTAGTATTAAACTTTAAATGTATAAAGAATTTTAAAATTAGATAGTGTATAAATATTCTACAACATATACACATGTTTTTCAGAATTTAATTTTATATACTAATTAAACAACTTTAATTTAACAATTGCCAAAAACTCAATCGCTTCTATAATTAGTTTTTTTCTAATTTGTATTATAAGGATTTATAGTTTATTTAGCATACTCTCAATAAAAATATATTTTAGAAGAATTCCATTATAAAAAGAAATCAAAATAAAAAAAATGATGAAAAAAATAATCATGATTGCCAATAATATACATATAAATTCTGAAGAACAATTGATATATTTCAATTTTAATTTTTGACCATATGTAAAATTATTTAATATATATAGTCATTATCTCTTAAATGGTAAATATATTAATTTGAAGAATAATTTATTTATATATATACCGAAATAAAACTCAAGAAATAATTATATTAAAAGGAGTAATTCACCAACTTGATTTCGCCTGATTAATTGGAAGAAAAAAATTCTACCCAACCTGATACGATTTTCTATAATTATTTTAGATAAAAAGTGAATATCTATGAAAAGAAATTAATATTATTGTTAGAACTTAAAATATATTGTAATATTTATTTTGACCAAAATACTATCAATACAAATTATGAAAAATCAATTTTGTAATTTATTATAATGAGTATCAATGAAATTATTGCAGATATTAATAAAATTACTTAAGGAAACAATATTTTTTGATCATATCTGATTTGATCTTATTTCAAAACATGTAAATAAAAATAATTAATGAATATATTTAAAAACAAGGCATGCATTAAATGCTTCTAAAATATTTGGCTACTATTTTTAATAAATGGTTATTCTTATTATATCTATATAGATAGATATGATATCATGAGAATATACATAAAAGATAACTAATGATTATTTTATTATGATTAATTTATACCAATTACTATAAAACTAGTGAGAATCTCGTGCGGGGATTTCATAATGTAAAATATTTTTGTAAATCTTTATTTTAACAATGTATTAGCCCGTTGATCCGTCTATATTAATATAAATAATATTTTAACATATATTTATTTTTTAATACAAAAAAATAAGAATTTTACATATTTTGGTTCATCATAATACTCAAATATTACTTTATAAAAAAATTTATTGTCGTATAATGTCAATATTATTTATACCATTTATAGAAGTATTTTTTTATATATAATGTTAAATATTTAATGTATGTTAATATTATTTATTGATGTGATTAATTTAAAAATATACAAGTAAATGTAATGTTAGTTAGGAATGCGATAGATCTTGATATTTTAGGTACAAATATATGATATATATGTACAAATATATGATATAATATCTTGAGATACAAAGGAAATTTTTATGTGATTTATTACTTTAATTAATCATCCCAATTCCCTAAATTGTATTTTTAAAACATGACATAAAATGTTTAAAAGTTTCCAGAATTAGTAAACAATATTTTTCTGGCGGGAAATAATTACTATTTAAAAAATAATTAAACTTTTATATATATATATAGATTGCTATAAACATTTTAATTATACTTGTAATATTAAATCATACTGGAGCATGTATGATTGGTTATAAATTATTAAGGAATAATTATAAGCATTCGCTTATTTGTAATGATTTTTCGTAAAATCATAAATGATTTTTTGATAATTGCAAATGAGAGTTGTTTAAGAGCATATAGTCAAAAATAATATTTTATATTTACAGAAGAATTAAATTCCATAATGAAATCATATTTTTTTGAAGATCTCATCCTCTAAGCAAAAAGATATTATGTTATTATTGTATAAAATAAAACAATTAAGATATCTACTACCACTATTTTGCTGGAAGTAATTTATAGTAATTAATTTTATTTGCAAATGGGTAATTCATGTTATGATTTTAAAATCATAGCTTAGAGTGAATATATGATTGGACTTAATAAATAAGATATTGATTATATACATAAATATATTTTATTATTTTTGAAAATTGAAAAGGTCATGGTGAAAAATTAAATCTAGCATCAAACATAATAAATTTTTCGTTGAGAAAAGATGAAATTATAAGATGATATCAAGGAAACCAATTGAATCCAATATAGATTGATTATCACAACATTTTTTTTTAAGAAATACTAGTACAACACCCGTGTATTACACGAGTGCTTGCTAATTTTTTTTCTTAAAATCTAAAATTAATGACAAAAATAGTTGAAAATTTAAATACCTTTTACAAAAGTATACATATTATTATATATTTAGTATGACACTTTTTATTTGTGCGACTTGCCTGTGTTATATTATAATAATTTTTTAACTTACAACATATAACTACATTAAAAACAAATATGTCAATTGATAAATAATTTTATTTTTCTAATGAATTTAAATAAATATTATAATTTTTTATTATTATAAAGATAAATATGATTTATTTATTTCATATATACAATATGGATGTCAAATCGAAGATCATCAAAAGATGATTAATTTGATATATAATATATGTAAAACCGATAATAAATACAAAAGTTATAAACTTTTAAAATACATTTACAATTCAATAGCTATTTAAAGGAAACAAATCAAAGTCAAGGATATATTAGTCTTTTTTTTTTCGAAACGATAGGGGATATATTAAACTCAAACAAACCAAGTTTGAAAAGTACAAGCCAACACCAGAACCGAAAGAGAAACCTGAGAGGACACGCATAAAGCG